AAGTTGATCTTTCTGTGCTTCCTAGCCACTGTTGTACATCTTTAATTAACTTCACAGACCATCATACTTGATGACTGAGTTAATGTTTCTCAGTTTCTTGGCAGCAATTTGTCACTTTTCCTTTTTTTGCATCATTTTTAACAATTCTTTCCTGTACATGAAGTTTCAGAAGTACTTCTTGTTGCTTGCATCTTTGTTGTAGATGTTTTGCAAACTTTCTTGAAATGCCAAGAACTAATTGTTTCTCAGTCGCTGATTTTGCTTCCAGCCAAAATGTAATCTGGTTGTGCTTGAGATTGATTGATGGTAAAGTGATGCATGTCATTTTATAATACAAGGGATTAAATCTTCATCCACAAAATAAGCATTTCCAAGTTCATCTTGATTTTGAATTTGAAAGCCTTGATTTTTTGTGATATCAGAATAAACTGTTAATTTTAATTTATTCTGCAGGAAACAATTATAAAAGGGACAGGCATTTAAGAAAGAATATTATTAGGCCATTGTGAAAACAAAGAAATTTATATGTTAAAAAAAGAAAATAAATCACTATCCTGTATTGTCAGCATATTTTTTTTTATTTAAATTATTCAAGCTTTAAACATCGATGTAAATATGCAAAGATTCTAAATAGTAAAAGCAACAACATCTAACAAATGAAGGTAGACTTTTGACCTTCTAAATTATTAATAATATATATATATATATATATATATATATATATATATAATTGATTCATTGAGTCTGATAGAAACCTCAACAGGAAATAGAGGAAGCACTGGACGGCCGTTTCGTCCTACAATTGGGACTCATCAGCAGTGCGCATCCACCACCAAGTATCGAAACCCTGACAGTTGGGTTGTCAAGCGAACAACATACCAACTGTACCAAATTGTGTGTATGTGTGTCATGAAGTAGAATGCTGAAATTATCAGAATTGTTTTTTTTTTTTGGACAAAGTACAAATTTACTTGAAACAGGTTATCAAGTGAAATGTAGATACTGTAATATAGTAAAGAGAAAAATTATTAATTTTATTTCGATCAATTTTCTTAATATTTGGGAAGAATTCTCTAATGAGAATTGTAAAAATTGTTGGATTGATGCATGCCTATTGAGTTTAATGATAATAAAAAAAAATTATATATTTTGGATTCTTTTATCACAGGCATTACAGATATTAACAATGATCCAATCGTAGATATTTTCCTTGACTTTCAAGTCTTTACTTATTGCATAAAAAAAAGAAGTTAGAGTATTGCCTGCTGTCTTTACTTGGTAATTTTACAATATTTTCTGTAGCTTAAAATAAAAAACAGCTGAAGTATTTTTTACCATTTATGTTCCTACAAGAATGTTAGAAAACTTTATTACTCAGAAGGGAGTGGGGTGTAATTCATAAACATTTTGTGCATGAATTGGGTGGTTAAGCAAGCATCTTAACTTTTCTGTACAAGATAGACTGCATAAATTTGACTAGTGAATCAGTGTCTATTTAGGTGTATAGACATTATGAATTTAGGAGCCTAAAATACCATCAAGTGTGCAAGAATAATTACCTACATTGAAAACAAAAGAATTTCTCAACTTCATTTACCACAACAGGCTTTTAAAATTTTATTTTGAGAATCAAACTGCTAGGTTTACTTACTCATTTCTAAAAAGTGCAAAAGTATACGGTTTAAAATGATAGGAAATTTTATCTAAAAGATATTTTAGAAATATGAAGATGTTCATTGCTATCAATGAAAAGTTAACAGCATCACTAAATTTTTGTATTTCACTCCTAGTTGCACTACAAAAGAAGCATTAGAAAATGCATAACTGAAGACAAATATTTAGATTTACCTTCAAATATAAGTATAAAAGACAACTGACAGAATACATATAATGTTTCAGCTTTTTTAAATGTTTAGTTTAGAACATTGACTTAACACTAAGTAAAACAAAAAACACCATGAAAATATTTCACACATACACACATCTTTTTTTTTACTTTAAATGTTATTTTTCGTGGATACCTGTATTTGACGAGATACTGTTTACTTTAAATGGTATTTATTTTGTTTGCCGGTCTGCATACTTGAGAAAATTTAATAAAGAAAATCCACTAAAAATAATGTTTGAAGTAATAAAAAATGTCAGATTAAAAAACAAATCCATCAATCCTATATATATATATATATATATACACACACACACACACACACACACAATGCAAATTCACAAGAATCAATAGTGGTGATTTTTGAGAACTTTCTGTCTAAGCTATTTTCTTTTAATATTTATGAACACGAAAAGGATTTTATACATAATTTATTAAATGCATTACACAGAAAAAATTTCAAACGCAATTTCAATCTCAAAATGCCACAACTATTAAAAGAGAAAATAACTTCAATGGAAAGTTCTTGAGAGCCACTATCACACACACACACACACAACAGTTTATAGCTGTACTCTCACAAAAATGATTACACTATCAATTTTTAGACCTGAATAACCATTTTTTGCACACTTTCATCACAAAATAAACAATAGAATCAAAATGACTATGCTAAAAATAAGTAGATTTACAGCTTTATACAATAAATAAACTGAAGACTCAAACACAACCTGAAATAATGCTTCAATAAATTCCAAGGGAGATAAATTTGGTATAGTAAGTTTAAATTTCTGTGTCTGAACACATCTTGTAATTAACCTACTTATTTCAGGCTTCAAGGCTTTCTTCGGGTACAATGGATTAAATAGAAGACTAACTCTAGTTCATTGACCATATGGAAAGAAAAAGATGAAAGAAAAAAAAAAACAACAACATTGCTACAATGTTAATTATTAACAACTCAACAGAAACCACAAAACAATGAGTATCTCTTGAATTCATACAAGGAATAAAATTTGAGTAAACTTAAAAAGAAAAATTTTACTAGTTGAGTTAGTCATACACTTTTTGAAGAGACGAGGTATTCTTTTTAGCACGTTTCGCTTTTTTTTGACATGTATGTACGGAACATGACCATTATCATAGAAACAAACTCGAAATAATCATGTCATTTTAAGACAAGCTCAGTGCATTTTTCTTAAATGGCTTTTTTCTTTTAATTCTGACAATCGATTTCTTCACAATAAATAAATACGTAAAAAGGTGAACAGTCTCAATGGGGGGGGGAGTTTTGGTGACACGTGGCATGTGTGAACAGCTGTGGTGTGGAAAGAACACTGGACACGTTTAACTAGGTTTAATAAACATAGATGGAATAACATTGTTATTGGTAAGACTTAAGAGGATGAATTTTAGAAAAGTGAACACATTTGAATGAAATATAAATGAAAGTAAAAAAAAGCTTGAAAGATGACACATTTTGAAATAAAATAAAAAAAAATGAACAAAACAAAACAAAAATTCCAATCTGTAAAATAAATTCCCAAAACAAGACTAGGAAAATTTAAATAAATAATTTATCTAGATCTGAAGAATTTATCATGATGAAAGTAAAAGAAAGCTCACGCAAAGAAAGAACATCCAATCAATATGCTATTTTTTATCCTTTTCTTTTTTTTTTTAACTACGTGAGCAAAAAAATTGTTCCAGATGGACAAAAAAATTCTGATTTTAAGAATTCTGTTTGAGAGAGTTTGATATAAAATAAAAATACGGCTTTTCAAAAACCTAAAGCAATTGCCAAAGAATATAAAAATAAAAAGTGAAATTATTTAAAAAAAAAAAAAAGATGATTTAAAAAAAAAATTTATGAAAGCATGTGAAAATTACCTCACTTTCCTTATGCCTAATAAAGAGAGGAAGAATTAGTAGAGAGGTTTTTACTTAATGACCGAATTAAAAAAGAAAAAAAAGAGAGGAATACTAAAATTAAAAAGGATTGTCATCGGAGCGTGACAATTAAAAAAAAATATTTTTATTGTAGAGAAGACGAGTTTGACCACAAAACATATGAATATGATATTAACAAAAAAAAACAAAACAAACAAAACAGAAAGAAACTTAAAACTAAAAAGCAATACAGATCGAGACGAATATTTACGAAAAAAAAAAAGAGAAAATAATTTTAAACTAGAAAATATTTTAAGGACATTTCTCTCTACCTACAATGAAGATTAAAGAAGCATTATGAAAGGATCATAGGGTCAATTGGGTTCACTAACCAACAAAAAATACTTTCTTTTTTAGTTTTTTTTATCTGCTTTTTTTTCCAGGGAGTTTTAAACTTTATCCTTTCTGTTCTGTTTATGAGAGTTTCAATCAAGTTGTCATTATTAAAAAAAACTAGGCACAGCGTCCTTTTCCGACATTTAATTTTTAATGTTGTTTATTAACGTTTATAAATAAAAAATAAAACTAAAAGTTAGTTAATTTATTTATTTTTAATAAACAACATTAAAAACAAATGCCAAAAACGTTAAACAACAACATTAAAAAAAAATTAAGAGTCTGAAAAGGACACTGTCTAGTTTTTAATTTTAAATGATTTGTATTTATAACAAATAAAAATTAAAAATACCTCTAAAATAAATAATTTATTTTTGGAATGTCATACCCCTTCTGGGTGTAGGAGATCATGGCTCTTCACAGATTCCTTTCTTTCCAATAACTGCCATGACTTCTTAGGAAAGCTAGTGGAGTGGTTTCCCGTTGCCTTCTCCATGAGACTAGAGATGCCACTTAAAATTTGGAAACCCAGTCTCTCCGGCTATTTAACCCATAGATGGGGTGAGAAGATATGAAGTCATGGACTCCAAGCCTTTTCCAATGGAATGATGGAAGTATAGAGTACCATTTCAAATAAAAAAAATTAAACAAACAAAACAACCATTTAAAAACAAAGTTAACAGATATAACAGCGAAAGATGTAAACTAAACAAAAGATTTAGTATAAAAAAATTAAACATCATTCAAATTAAAACTAAAAAAAAAGTATTTGCTGACCACGCTTAAGGGGCTAACATCTACTCAACTGGAAGTTTTCTTAGTTACTTACCGGACAGCTTTAACAGCGAAATAAATGACCACTACAGATGTAACCCCGATCAGGACATATAAAGTCCTCAGTAACATTCCTTTGTTGTTTTGTATTTGCCTCATGATGTTGTGGTACTTGGACGTGTGAATGTTGGTGTTATTGTTACAGGAGCTAGAGTTCTTGTCACATCCTGATGTAGTGGTGCTACCCTGGGGCAACACTGTAGTACTGCTGTGAGTATTGTTACTGTGGAGGCTGTTCCTATTGCTTGCTGGTGTCACACTGTGCCCGGCTCCAGTGCAACCACAGTACATCAATAACAAGAAGAGGCACGTTAAAGAAACATGATTAGTGTGACAGAGCAGCTTGCATGGAACACCCGACATGTTTGTTTAAGGGTTGTCGTCGTTTTCTAAAAATGTGGTTTTTTTATCACTTGGAGAAATCGACTCCACACAAAAAAAGAAAAAAAAAAGAAGAAACCTTTCTAGATATTTTTCCTTTATAGTTTTTTAGGTTCCCCTGGATAAATGGATAAGATCCGTGTTGAATCAGCAAGGAAAAGCTGAGAGAATGAGAAGCGCCGATTCTCCAACGAGCCTAGTTAACATCGCATTGTGACTGAGTTACTACAACGTGACCAACATGGACGTCGAGCTGTTCGGTAGTGTTCGGTAATCTCCGGAATTTCCCGGCTACGTCATTTTGTCGTCAGCTGAGGGGCTCCTTAGAACATTCTGTTAGAGTTGCAGTGTGACTTCCCAAATTTTATGTAGTTATTTTTTATTTTTTAATTCTCACTGAAAGTTGACAATATCTTTGAAAGCAAGAAAATAAATGAATGTTTTAAAAATATATTTTAACTGTCACAAATGTTTCTCATTTTACTGTGTAAAACTTACCGGAATTTAATTTTTTGTTTAGATAACTTTAAACACTTTTTTTTTTTTAACAATATGGGATATGACAGTGTATGACACACTCGATGTTGCTATGACAATGTATAATAAAATTTAAGTGAATTTCAAGTTTTAGCATAAAAACAAGCAAATCAAATTATTTTTGCAGGTATATTTTTAGATTAATAAAAAGCATAAATCATTTAATACTAATGAAGTAAATTCTTTAGTCTTCCAAGTTTAATTTCATTTTTACTTGAATTAAGTAAGTTTACCGCGCACCCACGTCGCTATCGAATAAAAATGTGACGCAAGGTTGCGGTTTAGTTTAAAAGCAGGTTTCAATACTATGGAAAAATTGCCCAAGCTCCCTCGATATTTCCCCCCTTTTGGGGATGCCTTAGGCAATAAATCCAGCCCCCTCCCGAAGGAGAGGTACTGCTTGGGGTGAAGGCCTCATGGAGCTTAGACATGTATTTTTGAAACGTCCCCGGCATAAAGTAAGCAAAAAGAACGACATTTTCTTTATTTAATTTTTTTATTTAAGTGACTGTAAACCATTTCTAGAAAATGTTTAATGGTTGAAACTGTGCATTTTTATTTTCTCTATCCTACTTGTACTTCCTACTTGTACTATTTGAAAATAGTAACCTGTCCAAAATTTTATAACTATTGAATACAATTTAATGACAAAAATAACACATTTTTGTTGTATTATTAATTATCTTTAACATTTCATTGAATTTTGATTCAAGCGTATCCAGCTTCTTTTTTAATAGCTACCTGAAAATGATAATATTTGAGGAGATCCTGAAACAGCTGAGAGAGGCTTTCGTGTGTTCTGTTCAGGGGTCTGGAACTACGAAGTGTAGTCTTACACCCATATCTTGCATTATATACCCACAAAAAATAAATTTTAAAAAATAAAGAACTGGCGTAAAAAGAGAAAGATCAACGTTCAAACAAAACTTAAATAAAAAAAAAATCACATGAACAACCAATCAATAAAAAAAAATGTTCAAATTCGAATAGATTTCAAAACCATTATTATTCCCTGCAAGTTTCGAAAACACTTAAATAGGCCGACAAAAGAAGTAGTGTATAAACAAATGATTAATTCTTTTCTGCATTCAAAATTTTCTTTTTCCAAAATTACCGCATGCACATGTAAAAATATTTTATGAGGGACATTTTAGCGGTCTTATCATAAATACTCACTAATTAATAACTGAACATAATGAGAATTGACTACAAATATGGTTGTTTCCGTTTATAGTGGAGTGGGGGTTAGGGAAAATGAACAGTTGATTTACCCATGCTAAGAAGATTAACGAAGGATGATAATGACAAGGAACACGGGTAATTTTAACAAAACAAGATAAGGTATTTTTATTCAAGAATTTACACGCTTAAGTAGAGTCAATTGCTCGTTTCAGGAAAATAAATAAGAATACTTAATGTCCGGAGTTAATGTTTTGTCATGAAGGGGAAATATTCATATGACAGATTAAATGTTCAAACACAAAATAATATTAAAATTGTTTAAGACAAAAAAAAAAAAAATAAATAAATAAAATAAATAAAGGTAAGAGCGTTCGTTACTCATCGAGGGGTTGGTTGCATACATTCAAAAGTAGACGAAGAGAGGATAGTTTGAAATACTTAGCTTTCTTGGATTGTTGAAAGAAAAAGAAAATTCATTGAAGTACCGCGTGCTGGTTAGAGACCGATAATATAATTGGTGACACTGGCGAGAACTTCAACGCTGCTTGCGAAGAACAGAAACGAAAGCTTTCACATGATGTTAGACGCTCTTCTCTAATTAATTTATTTTTTCTGCTCATTTTATATCAAAAAGAATTTCGTGTAGGCTCGTTACTTTTCTTTTCTGCATCTTCTTGGCTGAACGGCTAATTTCTGTGAAGGCAAGGTTTCCATTGGTCCAAAAACAAACTACACACAAGCCACCAATCTGCCACTGGGCGGCATGCCACTAGCGTTTACCGTTGGTGGCCCACTGTCGGGCCGCCGACGTGTTTGTCTCGACAATATTATCACTAGCGGACCGCTAGAAGCCCACCGGTGGCGCGCTGGTGGCTGACACCAGAAGACCGACAGCGGGCCACTAGCGGCTTCATATAGGCTCACGAATTTCTTTCCTTCTTCTTCTTCTTCTTCTTCTTCTTCTTCTTCTTCTTCTTCTTCTTCTTCTTCTTCTTCTTCAGTCCTCAGAATTTGAAGGGAATGAGTGAAGGGTGTTATTATTTCGCACTCTTTCCATGTTTCTACCAAAATCTCAAGAAAAACTAATATACCGAGAAACATCGATGTTGAAAATATCTGACTGAAACACAAGAGAGCCATCAAAAATACTATGTAACACTAAACTTTTTTAATACAAATTTACGTATAAATGTTCTGACTAAAGAAATTAAGTGTTTAAAATGATATCAGATTTTAAATTCAATAACTTTTTTGTAGTATTTATAAACAAGTAAGTAATGTCTTTAGCAAAAGTCAAGAGAAAATTAGTGAAAATTAAATATACAATCAAGCATTTAACAAAATTTATCTTCGAAAGTAATGTACTTTTTTTTTAAATATAAAAATTGAAATAGTGAATAACATTTCAATACAATTGTTTAGGAGGAAAAATAAAATTTTTGTTTGAACCACAGCTAGTTAAATAGTTTAAATTTGATATTTTTATGTTTTTATTGATTTTTTAACGAAATGTTTAACCAGAAAGGTCTGTGTATGTATGTGTGTGTGTGTGTGTGTGTGTGTGTGTGTGTGTGTGTGTGTGTGTGTGTGTGTGTGTGTGAGAGAGAGAGAGGGGAAAAAGTTCTTAGTCAACGACAGGTTGCGGTTCAAAACATGACCTCTCTTTTAGAGTCACAGTGAAAAGCGAAAGAAAGCAGCTTTTCGAGCGCTACTCTTCCTTATATAATGGGCGCGCTGACGTAATGGCTCCAGTGACTTTTAGTTAGTACGAATAAAATTTTGTGTTTCTTTTAAAAATTCAAATGAGTCGGGCGGATCTTTATAAAAATTTGTATAATAAAAAAGAAATGTAAAATTATATAAAAATATTTAATGAGTAAATAAAAAATAAACATTAGTAGTTACTAACACTTATTCTTTTAAGAAACCTCCCCCCTGTAATAATAAGGCCAGACGGTAAGAAAAATGATGTGTAAAACTTTGTATATGTGAGGCTCCAAATGATGTAAAAATACCGCCAAAATGAAACCTGACTGTTTATGTATAAAATTTGTTTTCCAAATCTGTAAAAAAGTTGCTCAAATCTCAGCCTAAATAAAGTTTACAAAGAGGCGTGGTTAAAGAAATACATTTGTGATTTTTTAACCAATGGAGAAAGTGAATTAAAAACCCAAAGTATCAAATTTCTGATTCACCTGGGAGCCGATTTGTGTCTATTTAAAAAGTCTGGCTTGTCAAGAAAGGTGTAGAGAGTTGGCTATCACAGGCGAAGGACGGCATCTGCTAAGAGGCAGCAAGTAGATGGGATTTAGCTTTCACAAGCGAATGTCATTGGCGGCTAGGAAAGCAAAAAGCTGAAGGATTTCGGCATTCATGAGGACAACACCGACGACTACTACGAAGATAAAAAAGAACAACAATAAAGAAAAACTAAAAACTGACCGCATCGCCGACAACAAAAAGAAAATAACAAAAGAAAAAGAAATGAAAACAGAAAGAAGTTTCTGCAAATTTAGAGAGATATACGATTATCTTTATGTAGTAGTTTGGGAAAGTTTGTCACGAAATTAGAGGTTTAACCTTGATGTAGAACTTTTATGAATATACGAGATTTATCTCATCTCAATTTCTAAAACAGAACTATTGTCTAAACAAAACAGGATCCAGTGCCACCTGTGAATCTTCAATCTTCACAACTCCTTTCAACAGTCGTATGAAACGAAATAAGTGAACGTTTTGTTGGTACTAATTATTATATTTATGAGCTTAACAATATTATAATTAGAACTTGCTATCTTGCCCAAGTGATTGGCGTACAAAGGGACATTTTTTTGCAAGTTTCTTTTGTAAATTTTGTATTTTTATTGTTTTTTTTTTAATGTCTTAATGTACATTTCTTTCACATTTCACATTGAGTAAAAGTCTTGTGTTTTCTCGTTTACGTCTTTCATAATACTCGGGATAAGAGATTGGATACTCTCCACACAAATCCTTTTAACTTGAAACTTGCTAAAAGCTTCTTAAGCTTCGTGAGGTTAACGTCACTTACTTTCCTAAAACCACTACTAGGGGACGCTCTCCGGACAATAAATACTCTGCGATATTTTTTCTCATTCTCTTCTTACTTCTTTACGTCAACGTCAACGTGTAAATCCCTTGTGGAAAACGCGTTTCCCATTGGGAAACGTAAGACCACACCAACACACACACACACACACACACACACACACACACACACACACACACACACACACACACACACA